GGTAAAATTTGTGGCTTACACTATTTCCTATAGCTTATTCATTTGCCGACAGTTGCAGCAAGAATACATTATACAACAACAACTTGTGTTTACACTGCACATGCTTGCAATTAGAGTTAGGAGTTGACCATAACAAACTTTAGGGAGGAGGAGGCGTAAAAACTACTGTACCTTTCACCAAGTATTGCACGACATATTTGTTTTTGTTATGATGTGCTGTACAATTTCTTTTGCTTTTCTTTCAAGTATGTGTAGAATTTTTTTCATAAATATAATTTTCTTGTTCTGTGTACATTAATTTGTTATCAGATTCCACCATCCATCAACCCCTTAGACTTTTAATGGTCAATCCCTTCTTTGTTCTTTTGAAATGTTTTCAAAACAGGTTTTCAAATCTATACATTTTGTTTTGTTAACAGCCACGAAACCTTGGTGTACCATTGATAGAGGGACCTGTTCCATCAGGAAGTACACCATCTAGCATGTCAATTGTACCAACACCATCGTACCAAGATGATACTGTCTTAGTGTCTGCATATACTGTTGATATACCTGAAACAACCAATGAACCACATCCTGTAATATTAGGTCAGTATTGTCGTATCTAGGGTGCCCTCTAGTGTGTGGGTGCATGATTCTTTTGTTTTCTCAGGAGAAGTTTGCCCAATAGTTATAATATTGTGCACAGTATTAATAATAGTATCTTTGCATCGCTAAATACACTGACCTAATAGTATGGAAATTGGTGACTTGGTTCTTGATTAAAATCATTATGGCCAACTGTTTTTGATTATTTGTCGCCATTTTCTTTACCATGTATGTAATGACATAATCCAAATTTGGCGCAGAGAAATTAGTGTTACCATGTTATGTTTGCCAACTCCTCAGTGATTATTATAATGTTCAATAAGAACAACATTATCATTTATTAATCTCATTATTTCAGGTTATCATGAAATTCCTGAGAGTATCGGCAAAGAATTACAAATCATCCACATCAAACATCCAACAGTCAGCATAATTAGACCTCCACACTTTTCACACTTACCCACGCCACCATTACCTGATACTACAGACGAGAACGAAACTAATGGAGATGAGAAACCAACAACAAACATACCATCTGGGAGAGAAGTTCAGGGGACGAATCGCGATGTTCCTGACCGTACATATCGAATCGTTGACAATGATGCTTTGGTGATAGGCGTATTCATAGCCTTGTTAGGAGGACTGGTCATTATTATTTTCTTGGCTCGGAGAGTAAGTCTTGTTTTTTTCGGCTGCATATGAGGCATTTAAAATATTAAAGGATGAAGGTTGCTATGACTACATGTTTCAATATGGCTCCCAAATGCTTTGTTTTTTTCACACCAAATTTGCTTTCAGCTGTGACAACCATCTCCTTATATTTCAAACTTTACTTTTAGTATAATTAATAACATTTTTAAAAATGTGGATTGCATTTCGTTTCTAGTATGGTTCACAAACAGTGACAATATATCAACCAATAAGCCGCTTGTTAGTAATTTTGTATAATATTTGAATACTATTTTGTTGGAATTAATGTGGGTCCCATGTGACGTTAAACAACATGTGTAAAATATATTGTTTATCCAAAACTTTGTTGTGTTGCATAATGACTGTGGTGCTTCAAGCTTGGAAGGAGATGTTCTGCAGAGCAAAGTTTGAGATCAATTCTTTTTTTTTTTGCAGCCTGTTATTGTAATGTCATCTAGTACAGGGTCTCGTCAATTTTCAAGTGGAGGGAATCCCTCATCATATCATCAGAACAATGACACTGCAATACCAGAAGGATTTGTACAAGTTGGTAAAATTATTTTCAACCCGAAAAAAGTTCTAGGGCAAGGTTGTGAAGGAACATTTGTATTCAGGTATAGTGTCTTATTGAATAATCTTGCAGTGTCTGTGATCATGCTGGTTTACATACAATGATGTATTAGAAGCTGCGTTCCTAATAGAAGCCGCACACACTCTTTGTGAATGATTGAAAACCAAAAATTCTCCATTCCTCATGTGTAAGCCACCTCCCCCTGACAATATTGTACCATTTTAATAAAAGCCACAGTTTCTCATACAGATTTCATAGTACTAGGTGTTTGTGTATCACAGGTCACATTTTAATTGTACCTAGAAAATCCATAACAAAAGAAACAAATGATAGTATGTTTAGGAGTCAAGCACACACCAAATGATAGGGGAACCAGGGCTTGTTTCCATGGTGACAATCATATATATCACTTCAGGTGGTGTTGGTTATATGATCATTTCACTCATCAAGATAGTACATAAATTTAGTCCAATAATTTTGTTGTTGAAAGTGCTACTTTTGTCACTTTCCACAAAATAATACATTTTTTTTTTATATTTTGTTCAACATTTTGATCAAGATCTGTAGCAAATAGAGTATTATGTTCAAAAAATAAAACAATTACAAAAAAGAAAGCATATAAAAATATTCACAATGTTGGACACAAATTTTGGCGAGAAAAATGATGGCATTCTAAGGGTTAAAAAGTCACTTGTGTTAGCTGTGTCTGTGCATCAATATTTAAATAATGCTGATTTGGATGTATGTAGGGGATTATTACTATTAACCACACACCTGGCATTTACAGGGGACGTTTTGACAACCGTGATGTGGCAGTGAAGCGCATTCTACCAGATTGTTTTAATTTTGCTGACAGAGAAGTTGACTTGCTGCGAGAATCAGATGAACACCCACATGTTATCAGATACTTCTGTACAGTAAGTTAAATAAATTGAATGTAATGTCAAGGGGTGCAGGGAAAGGGCTGTAACTTTTAAAGTGACAATAACTGTAATTTGCCTCTCAAAAGGGAAACATTTCGCCCAGGGTCCCTGGTGAGTTGTCTTCTTGTACAGTAATTCCTGAGGTTTGCTTGACAAAATTGAATTTCAATAGATGGCACCCTCTAGCGACTTGGAGGCAAACCTATGGCAATATTTTTTCACTTGCAAGTGATTTAATGTACAACGTCGGTGTATAGCATATAGTCATTACTGCTTACATTTCAGTGATGGCCATAACAAACACTAATAACACGGGTAATGTTTTATTAAAAATAAAAATTGGAAAAAAAAAGATGGTAATTTATATTTGAGCAACTTCACATTAAGTTCTGTAAGAGTGTATTAGGAGTGCACAGGCGTTCAAGTAATATTAAGTTTTTTTAGAGCACAAATACCCTGTGTATGATATATGTTGTGATTCTGCACATTATTGATATTTTGCTCCAAAGTGCCATTTTTAGGAATGATTGTATTATAGTTCTGGTAAATATGGATTTTAACTTGTCAGTGTGGAACATCTTTGTTACATTTGTAGGTGGCATGTGACGTACAATGTACTTTTTATCTGTTCCTATATTACATCCCATAGTGGAAATGCGCAGTGCTCTCACCAAGTAAATGTGCAAAGACTGCAACTAATTTTCAAACATACCAATAACTTCTATCATTTTGGTGGCTTAGCATGGTCAAACTTCCTTTCTTATAGGCCTGGGGTAAACACAGCATGTGTTATTTGAATGTGCTAAGCACTGTTCGCTCTAAGCTGATATGATGCGCCCTGGATGCAAAAAAATAGCAATCGACTGGCATCATTGACACAACAAAAAATCAGACATTGGTATAGTGATGTTGAAAAATATCCTACTCCATTGTACATGTATGTGTAATTTGATAAAATTAAATTCGCACCTTATATACAAACTAAGTGTAAAAACAAAGGCAATGACAAGCCAAAACATTTTTGTTTTGTTTTGTTATAAGTCACCTATACAGTCACAAACATTTTTATTTTTTCTTGAAAACAGACCTCGACAACAGTCACCAAGTTAACTTTTGATTTTACGGCTTTCATTTTGACTCTCTACAAAATAAGTTATGTTAGAGGGCGCACTGCTGCAAAATATGCACAAATTTAGTGTTGCAATTTTATCAACCAAAGTGTAGTGACTCATGTGGGACAGGATTCTATTTGCATTGTGCTTCTCTATTCAATGTAAACCAGTAAACAAAATAAAGTGGTCAAATGTGATGTCATTCATCTGGAATGTGTTCTTCATTGGTGATGTAGTTTTCCTTGAATATCAGCAAAACCAGGGAGATGTATGATGAAATGCAAATAGGACATTTTTTTATGCTTGATGTATATTTAATAAATATTATCTGTTTTAATTTTTGTTAGGAAGAAGATAAACAGTTCCGATATATTGCTTTGGAGTTATGTGCAGCAACTCTGGCCAACTATGTCATGAATAATAGTTTTGATAAACAGTTATTAGAACCTGTGGATGTATTACATCAAGCGATGGATGGATTGACATACTTACATTCATTAGACATTGGTAGGTTTCCACATTGTTACTGTTGCTAGGCAATAGACCTCAGATGTGGAATGCTGAACATGATTGACAGTAAAGAATGTATAACACTATTTGCTGAGCAAAAATGAGTCTCGGCGACCATTTAAATCTAAGGTCAATTAATGCTGGTCTGCAGGATCATACTATATACAAACCTCATTGGCTTTTCACCAAAATGACATTCACAAATCTAAGACTTGGTTTTTCTGATGTCATATCCAACAAAACAAAACAAAACCAATGAAATTTGGCTAAAAAATGTTTCTGAAAATAAAAGAAAATAAATTTACCATGGCCACAAATATGTTTTATCAAAGCTAATTAAATTTATTGCAAGCAATGATGTCTTCTAATCTGATAACGAGCTACTGGCCTAATTCCTGAAGAAACATTGCTTGCAAAACTGTAGTATTATCAGCTAACTGATGATATTACTGGTTAGGTTTACGAATCAAATTCACAGCTATAGTAAGTGCCTCCTACATGTACAAATAGTAATTTTGATGTGAATCCCACAAAAGTATGATTCATTCATTTTTTTAATGATAAACTTCATGACTAGCAATGTGTGTATACAAATCATTGACATTTTCAAGTGGAATCCAGCTGTTGCAAGCCTGTTTGTCAAATAAATCTGATTGATACTTGTGTAAGTGTCTCATGTTTGAATTTCTGTGGTGTATTTATAGATTGAAATGTTTGAATTCAGTTCACAGAGATATCAAACCTCACAATGTACTCATATCAATGCCCAATGCACATGGCAAAGTTAAAGCTATGATATCAGACTTTGGTTTATGCAAAAAATTGGCAGCAGGGAGGCATTCATTTTCACGTCGCTCTGGAGCGGCTGGTACTGAAGGATGGATCGCTCCAGAAATGCTGTCAGAGGAGGCCAGAACAGTGAGTATAATGTATTAGCGATGTAACCAGATAGCTTGACATATTCAAATGAATGTCTGTGCTTGTATATATCTTTGACTGTAATAGTTTATCGTGCTAAAATTTTGGTGCAACATTTTGCCTATTTTTTAGTATTTGTTAGTAATATTTTTGATAATTTTGAAAACAAATGGACATCATTTCCTACTGGCTACTGATCTTAACTGAAAATTTGGGGGAAAAAATCATACAGTTTTGAATTTGTGATAGTGAGAAAAGTTGATTCTGTCGCTCAAAAAGTTAAATTGATTGATTAAAGTATGGTAGTAATTTCAACTATGAAAATTTTGTGATTGATGTGTTTTAATGATTAGATAAAATTTGCAATTTCCTCTTGTTTATGATGAGAAAATGTATTTATTTCAGACCACAGCTGTCGACATATTTTCCTCAGGATGTGTGTTTTACTACGTTTTATCCAAAGGCAAGCATCCATTTGGAGATTCTCTCCATAGACAAGCTAATATATTATCTGCAGAATATAATCTAGACATGTTAAACCAAGGTATGTTTGTATACTAAAGAAATTACGCTGACCCTTCACAGGTACATGTAGTGTAGTGGTTGTTGCATCAAACTCATGATCAATAACCCAAGTTCAAATCCTACCTGAGATAGAACCCGATAACAAGAATCAATTCCTACCCTGTACCACAGACTCAATGGGTAGGCAAAATCCACTGGCCAAGATTCATTTACTAGTAAATGTGACTTTGGAGGAACCTTGGTTAAGGTCTACAGGTGCTCGTATTCGACCATTATAGTTTAGTGTCATGTAATCCCAAACATAAATATTGTTTCTGTGGAAAAATTCACTATATGTTGCACTTGCTATTTTAAAATTTAATAAAAATATTCAACTGTCACCTGACACAAAAATACATAAAAAAAGAAAAGAAATTACACTATAATATAATATCTTTAACAATGACTTGTTTATCATGTTTTGTTCAACTAAGAGTTGTTTTTATGGTATTTGAACTCGCAGAATCTTTAATGCTGCTATTCCTGTTTTTTTTCTGTTACAGATGACCATACGTCCAGGCAGTTAATATCTCATATGTTAAATCAGGATCCAACACAAAGACCTGCAGCCAATACTTATATTAAAACATCCATTCTTCTGGTGTCTTTGAAAAACAACTTGCTTTCTTTCAGGTAACTTTTTAGGCAAAGTTTGAAGTCGGGAATTATTTATCTTAGTTCTTGTTTGTTGGTGCAAGATCCATTTCTCAGACATGCTTAGACCAACCACATTTAGGTTACACAGATATTGTCTATAATGACTTACATATGTACATCTATTTTCAGTACCATTTGATCAAATATGACTGACTGTGATTTTGGTTCTCAAATTTGCTAAACTCTGATACATTCTACATATTCAGAACCATTTTTCAGAGACAAACATGGCAATTTCTCAGAGACAAACATGGCAATTTTATTCAAACTTATTATCAGTGTCATGCATATTTGGTTACAGGTGTACTTCATATTTGGATAA